CCAGCTTATGAGCCACATTGTTTGCTTGAGCAACTTCTTTCATGATATTCTCTTTTTCCTTCATCTTCTGTGTCAATTCTCAGAGTTTCTCATTCTCCCTTGTGAGGGAATCGTTATGGTTACAGAGTTCTTAGACAACATCTTCATGTATATTGTAGCTCTTTTTCAGTTTGGTGACCCCTGTTATCCACTCTTCTGAGGTGTTTCCTATGCCAGCATTTCGAAAGGCTTGACTGATCTTTTGGAAATCTTCATACATGGTTTCCATTTCTGTGCTCAATTTCTTGTTTTGATCCTTTAAATAACATGCTTGAGCTTCATAAAAACTTCATTTATTATGAATGCTCTGACTGATATTCTTACCGTAGAATGCTTTTGGTATCAATCTAACAGGATCTTTGTGGAATACTTTTGGTATTAATATAATAGGATCTTTGTCTGCATAACTCGCTTCTATCCTCGGAGTTTCCTCAGGATGTCTTTCCTTGGTTGCGTCATATTTTGTTTGATCATAAAACTTTTTGTCCTTTTATGAAAACTTTCCAATTTGATGAATAGTCTTTCAAATAAACACCTTTTGGGTTATGCTATGATAATGCAATGCAAACAAAAGAAATTAATATAAACAAGTTAGAGCAAAATAAAATGTGTGAAAAATAAAAACGAGAAAGGAAAAAATAAATTGGTTAGTACCAATTAATGGAAAGAAAAGTTCCTATCTATCATGATATAAAAATCCTAACCTCATGCTTTCTAGTTCCATGCTTTGTCATGAGAAAGTTCATTGGAAGAAAGATTGTCCAAAGCTGAAGAAGAAAGGAAAAGCTACTCTAGATGATCGAGTTACAGAGCATGATACCAATGAATTTGCCATATCATTGGTTGCTTCATCAAAAACATTCCATTCAGATAAGTGGATATTAAATTCAGGTTGCACCTATCATATGTCCCTTAATCAAGAGTGATTCTACGATTTAGTAGAACTAAGTGCAAGAGTTGTTTATAAGGGCAATGACAATGCCTGTAAAACTGTTGGAACAGGTCCAAATCAATTGAAGAATCAAGATGGATCAACCAAATTTCTGACTGATGAGAGATGGAGAAAATCTCATCTCTTTGGGAGCCTTGGAATCCAAAGGCTCAGTAGTCACTATGAGAGATGGAGTTTTAAAAGTCACATCTGGAGTACTTGTGATGATGAAGGGCATCAGGAAAAATAATTTGTATTACTACCAACATAGTATAATTATTGGAGCAGTTGCAGCAGCTTACGAAGGAGATGATTTGGACACAACCTAGTTGTGGCATATGAGGTTGAGACATGCTGGAGAGAAATTCTTGCAAATTTTGGCAAAGAAATGATTGTTGAAAGGTGCAAAGGCTTGCAAATTGAACTTTTACGAGCATTGTGTTCTAGAAAAGCAGAAGAGAGTGAAGTTTGGCACCACTATACATAATACAAAAGGTATTATGGATTATATTCACTCAAATGTATTGGGTCTTTCAAAGACATCGTCTTTGGGAGGAAACCATTATTTTATAACTTTTGTAGATGACTTTTCCAGAAGAGTTTAGGCGAATCTGATGAAGTCTAAAGGTGAAGTGCTCCGAATTTTCCTTAAATGGAAAAAATGATCGAGAATCAGACTGGTAGAAAGATCAAACGTCTTAGGATGGACAATTGAGGGGAATATAAAAGTGACCCATTCTTTGACGTTTTCCATGAGTATGGTATTTTTTGACACGTCACTGTTAGAAATACACCACTTCACTGTTAGAAATACACCATAACAGAATGAAGTGGAAGAGCGTATGAATTGAACACTATTAGAGAAAGTTCGATGTATATTGTCTAATTCTGGCTTAGGTAAGGCATGTTGGGCTAAGGTTGTGATATATGTTGGCCATCTCATCAATCGTCTGCCATCATCGGCAATAGGAGGAAAACACCATTGGAGGTATGGTATGGAAACCTGCTACTGATTATGATTCCTTTTATGTATTTGGATTCACTTTTTATTATCATGTGAAGGAATCCAAGCTTGATCCGAGAGTAAAGAAAGCTCTCTTTATGGGAATCACCCATAGAGTGAAGAGATTCGGCCTTTGGTGTGTAGACACCAAGAAAATAATTTGTAGCAGATATGTTACCTTTGATGAATCTTCCCTAGTAAAAAGGTAATAAATGAAACTGTCCAGATAAGTAGTACTCCACAGCAGGTGGAGCATACTCCAAAATAGGTGAAGTTTCAGCAGAAGATGATCCCAGAAGTTAATGCAGCTGATTGTTCAACTCCAATAGAAGAATTAGAAGATGAAGTTGTTTAAACCCAAGAACCATTGGAGACACTAGAACTACTTGTAGTTACTAGGCCAAGGAGAGAAATTCGTAGACCTACTCGATTTGCTGATATGGTGGCCTATGCTCTTCCAGTTGTTGATGATGATATCCCTATCACTTACCAAGAATCAATACAAAGCTTGGAAAGTGATAAGTGGAAAAGTGTCATGGATGAAGAAATACAATCTCTCCGAAAGAACAATACTTGGAAACTGATAAAATTACTGGAAGGTAAAAGAGCAATTGGATGCAAGTGGGTATTTGCAAAGAAAGATGGATCTCATAGCAAGAAAGATGTTCTCTACAAGGCAATGTTGGTAGCTAAAGGCTACTCTCAAAAGGAGGGAATCGACTACAATGAAGTATTTTCCCCTGTTGTGAAGCATTCCTCCATTAGAATATTGTTGCCATTGGTAGCACAGTTGAATTTGGAGCTAGCTCAACTTGATGTAAAGAAGATTTTCTTTCACGCTGATTTAGAAGAACATATCTATATGACTCATCCAGAAGGATACAAAGATGGTGGTTGTAAGAAATAGGTTTGTAAATTGAAAAAATCACTATATGGATTGAAGCAATCTCCGAGGCAGTGGTACAAGCGATTTGATAGCTTTATGAGGAGGCAAAAGTACACTAGAAGCAAATGTGATCATTTTGTGTATTTGCAAAAGCTCAAAGATGGATCTTTCATTTATATTCTCTTGTACGTTGATGATATGTTGATCGCTTCGAAGAGTCAAAAGGAGATAGACAAATTAAAAGCTCAGTTGAATCAAGAGTTTGAGATGAAAGATCTAGGTGAAGCCAAGAAGATTCTAGTATGGAGATAAGCAGAGATAAACGGAGAGAAAAACTTTGTTTAACATAGAAGCAGTATATGAGAAAGGTATTACAATGTTTTGGCATGAATGAAAATATCAAACATGTAAGTATCCCACTGGCTTCTCATTTTAAACTTAGTTCTCAGTTATCTCCTATAACTAATGAAGAACGAGAGTATATGGAAAAAGTTCCATATACTAATGCAGTTGGGAGCTTGATGTATGCAATAGTGTGTGTGCGTCCTTACATTTCACAAGCAGTTGGAGTTATGAGAAGGTACATGCATGATCCTGGAAAAAAGGACATTAGCAAGTTGTGAAATGGATTTTACGGTATCTCCAACAAACTGTGGATGTTAGTTTAGCTTTTGAACAGAATGAAGCACTTGGTCAGTGTGTTGTTGGATATGTTAATTCCGACTATATTGGTGATTTGGATAAGCATTGATCAACTACTAGGTATTTGTTTACTCTTGCTAAAGCCCCAGTAAGTTGAAAGTCTACTTTGCAATCTACAGTGGCTTTGTCTACTACAGAGGCAAAATACATGGGAGTTTCAAAGGCTGTGAAGGAAGCAATTTGACTTAAAGGGTTGATGGAAGACTTGGGAGTTTTTCAAAGTCACATTAGTCTCTATTGTGACAGTCAGAGCGCTATTCACTTAGCGAAAAATCAAGTCTACCATTCAAGGACTAAGCGTATCGATGTGATATATCCCTTTGTGCGTGAGATCTTTGATGAAGGAAAGATTCTACTTCAAAAAATTGCGATAGCAGAAAATCCTGCAGATATGATAACCAATGTCTTGATTAACATCCTGAAAGTTTGAGCACATTCGGGTGTGTAGCGCTTGTGAGCGCAATTAGAGGCACTACATTAAAATAACTTCATCAAATTTGGGGAGTTGAAGAAGCTTAGTAGGCTTTGTAATTTCAAACCAAGGTGGAGATTTGTTATGTGTGGCTTGCAAATTGGCAAGTTGGCAAGATTGACAAGTGGCCAAGTTGGCAAGATTGACAAGTGGCCAAGTTGGCAAGTAGCCAACTTGTGTACATGGGATAATTATCTTTGGTTAGCAAGTGGCCAACTTGTGCACATGGGATAATTCATCTTTGGCTGACAAGTGGCCAACTTGTGCACATGGGAATTTCATCTTTGGTCCTTAAATTATTAGTTTATTTATAAGTTTAGACCTTAAAACTCAACTATAAATAGGCCTAAGTATTTCCATTAGAAATCATCCCAAAACAAGTTCTCTCTTCCATTTGTTTTCTTCATTCTCTAACTCTGGGAATTCTAAAGAATTCTATTTGTTGTAATATTTGTTGATAGTGAAGTTATCATCTGGTGTGGTGTCCGAGGAGTAGACAATATTTTCGTCGAACCTTATAAATTTGGTGTGTTCTCTCCTTTATTGTTCTTTATTTTTTTTCATTGTGTTTCAATATTCAATAGTTTGACGGGTTTGTCCACTGTGCAATATTTGGTAGTTTTGATCTTGGCATTTCAAATCAATTTTAAAACTACGTTCGTGTGAGAAATAATCCGGTTTCCCAAACAATTTAAACGTGCCTTTTTTCCTATGTATAAGACATAAATTTAAACGTGTCTTCCAATTAATATTCAGCAGTAACTTAGCGCTCAAGGGTTCGCTTTCTCCACTCTATATCTCATGTTTGATATTCAATGATAAAAATATACTCTCTAATTTATAAATAAAATAATATTCAAATAATTTAAACATAGTTATTATGTTTTTTTTATAGAAATATGTAAAGTAGTTAAATAGAATCAAAGATATTTAGTTTAATTGTTTTAGATTTTAGTTATATGAGAAGAAACTATGATGAATAGCATCCGTTTCAGTGACTACAAATCCAGTTTAACACCCAGTTCCAAGCTAAACTAAGCTATGCTATTTAGAGCTAGAGACCACCTACAGCCTTGTAGTGATAATCAACAATAGAGGAGTAAACTAAACCTTCCCTCTCGAGGAACTCAATAGCATCCACAGAAGGGAAAAGAAAGCAAAAATGAACAAATTAATGGATGAATACTTACAACATGCATAACTAAAATAACTCAAAAGTAAATTCAGCATATGTAAATACTTGATCTTTGCCATGGGAGCATTCAATTGTTTCGAAAGTTCATCTACATGTACCCCCATTTCTCGATCGCTGGAAATAGCAGTAACCAACCAATCAAATCAAATCAGAAAAATATTGGCAACAATTGAAATGTTTTGATGTCAAGTTTCTCAAATCAGAAAACTTACATGTTTGATGATTGCTGCAGATAGTTCAGGACCATTTTACCAAAATTCTTGAGTCCATCCGCATTATATCGCATAGAGAACTGGAAAAGAACAAGATGTATATTGGGGGATCAAATTAATAGAAAATTACCAATTTAGAAACTGAATTTTCATCATAAACAAAAAAAGTTTCCAAAGTTACCTCGAATCAATGCGAGAAAGTGAAGAAAAAAGGATGGAAAATCGTCTAAGACATGTAAATCAATTACTGTGTTTCTAGCCTTTTCCAATCAGCCAAATAATTTGTCACATTTCTTTCCAAAACTATGCGTGGGAATTAAATTATAACTAATGTAATTTAGTTTTTTAAATGGTATATTTCAACTTAGTGTTACCGGCTACCATAGAATATATGTTGTTACATTCAATTGATTTCTTTTTGAGCATCATTGTATGAACAAATCAAATATTAGACCTCTCCTATACAAAACATTATCATTCAAATTAATTCATTTACCACTGTAATACTTGACTAAGCTGGTTTAAACTAAACACTTTCTTATGAATTATATAGTCTTGAACACTATAATTTTAGTTAAACATTTTGTAAGATTAGTTCTATAAAGATTGTAAAGTTTTAAACATGAAAGAGACAAAAGTGGAGTTCAGTTTGTAGCATAAGAATCTGCAATAACAAATTAAATTAAGAACACGTTTTAAAATTAAAAAATCAAACAAAAAAACAATTTTATTTAGAATACACAATGAGTCATGTTTATATACTATGTTTTCACATTTTAACACTTTCATTTGCTACTTAAACGGCTCAACCAATTATTCAATCAGAAGACATCAACACTAATACATCTGCATTAAAATAGCCAGAACTATCGAAAGACAAATCTATATGCAATGAAATAAAACAATGACTTCTAATGGTTAGATTCAACAAAACAACTCGTAACAGTGAAGAATCAACTCAGTAATTAATTTTTACAAATCTAAAAGTAACATAATATGTTGATCTTTGAAGGTGCGTATAATTTTTTTAGGGTTAGAAATCAAAATGTCCACATGCACAAAAACATAAAAAGTTAAAGGGAAAAAAATCAAAGATCAAGGTTGTGAAAGATCAAGAACTAAAACAAAGTCCCAAAAACTTACCTTGTTGAAGACGTTGGAGTGATAGTGACCGCCAAAAAGATCTGATGAGAGGAAGATAATCGGTGAGGAGAAGAGATACGGTGAAAAGAGTCAGTGAGAAATAGAGATTGCCCATAAATGGGGAAGAAAAGCAAGAATGCTCGAGAATAGGAAAATGGCTTACAGATTAATTTTTTGATTTTTCGAGTGACTCGAAATTTCAAAATTTCAACTCGACTCAAACTCGAAAATTGAATTGATAATTCTAATTGACTCAAATAACTCAAATGTTTCAAACCGAGTTGAGTTTTACTCAGCCCTAGTTTTGACTTTGTATATCAACTAGCAATTATTCACGCACAAAAAAGAAAAAGTACCAAATACCAAAGCAACAAGCATTTTATCCTGTAAATGTGCTACAAAAGTGTATTCACTCATATGTTATGACATAGAATCGAATCTTAGAAGATGTATTTGAAGGTAATAAAATTTTATTACGACTCAAGTTCGACATATAAAGTTAGTTGAATTGTGACAAGAATATGTTGTTGTCTTGATTGATTTTTCCCCTTAAAACGGAGGGTAGTGATTCTCTATGAATTCAACTCAAAATTAATGTCAATGAAAGATTGAATAAAGAACTTTTATCATTTCATTTGTAGTTCAATTATTTATGTAAATTTTAACTTTTTAACTATGAAAAATTATAGATATAATCATATGAATACTCTCAACCATTTGACAATGAATGCTCAATCACTCCTGATGTAGTCTGTAACGCCCCGGATCCCATGTTAGGAGTTTTGGGCTAACCCGAGATAGGCCTTGAATTAAATCTCTAGCTTGTAGGAAGCCTTGACCCAAGAATAAGTGGTATTAGTGCGGATAAGTGGCTCAAAGAGATGCTCTGTACCCTCAGACAGTTGTATCTCACCCCCAGTGTGTAACTTAGAGTTCATCACCTCCATGCTTAAGGGTGACACAATAGAGTGGTAGGAGACTGTAGAGTTGGCAATGGAGCCAGAGAGGCCTACTTGGGAGTAGTTTCTCACCCAGTTCAGAGAGAAGTACATCGGCAGATTTATAATGATAACTTGATGGAGCAGTTCCTATAGTTGAATGAGGGTGACCGTTCAGTGGTGGAGTACGAGGGAGAGTTTCTTCGACTTAGTAAGTATGTCGCAGAGCTGATCTTGACTGAGTAGCGTCGTTGTTATCGATTCAGAGAGGGCCTTTGGGGTGATATTTTGATCCACTTGGCAGTAGATCCTCCAAGAGTCTTTTCTCAACTGTCCCACCAGGCGAAGGCAGTTGAGAAAGCCCTAGATAGGCAGACTATGCAGTCCAATAAGGCTGCAGGACAGGTCAGGAGAGCCACTAAGTCAGCCACCCATCACAGGCCTTCGCCAAGAGGGCCAGAGACAGTCAGGGTTCATCGAGACACCCGACAGTAAAGTCCCGGAATGCTGGGCAGAGTTTGAGTAATAGTGTAACATCCCAAAAATCAGAGCTAGTGACTAAAATGTAAATTTTGAAAACTTTGTGCTCAATTTTGAAATAAGTTAAAAGTTTAAGGACTTAAGTATGAATATATTAGTATTGGAATAAATAGTAATTATGGAAAGATTGAAGGGAATTATGGTAAATTTAACTTAAAAGATATTTTATCCCCTTTAATAGGAGATAAACACGTGAAAATGGGGGATTTATCCGTAACTTTTCTTCTTGCTTCCTTCTTTCTCCCGTTTGGTCTAGCAACAAAGGTAAGTTTGATTTTAATTGTTGATTTCTTGAATTTCTAAATGGGTTTTGATTCTTTGGGTGTTATATAAGCTTAAGGAAAGCTTATATAAGATCAAAACAACAAGAAGAGAGAATTAGAAAGGAAATTGTAAAAAGGGTAAATAAATGAATTGTTAGTATAAAGAGGTTTTTAAAGTTTTAATTATGAATTTGACTTGTCATAAGAAGGATTAAGAAGTCTAAAGTATTATAAATGAGTTTAGAACACATTGAAAATTTGGTATGATTCTTGAATTCCATGTAGATGATATAATTTTGAAGGTAAAGATGTGTTATATGAGTACAAATGGATTTAAGTATGTATATTTGAGTTAAGAATATGAATGGGGTTAAAGTATGAAATGATTGGGTGAATAAGAGTGAATTTTTTTGCTTAAAAAGGAAAATATGGGCTATGGGTATCGGTACCTATTGAGTGGGTACCGATACTCCAAGGTAATTTATGAGGAATTAATGCATGGGGTATCGATACCTGTATGAACAGTATCGATACCATATGGAGGAGGTATCGATACCCGGGAACTTCGAAGCTAATTTTGGTATCGGTACCTGGGTAGGGTATCGGTACCTTAGCATAGAGATATCGGTACTGTGAGGGTAGTATCGATAACCCTTAAGTTGGAAAGTTGAATTGGAGTTTTATTTAGTTTGTATTGATATGAATAGTATCAAGTAATTTGAATCTCGACATTCTTTAAATTTTGTACTCGTGTAGACATTGATCGGAAGCAAAGTTTGAATAGGTTGTCAGAGTAAGATTCGCAAGAGAACAAGAACTTGGTAGTGTCCATTGAGACCCAGGTGAGTACATGATAATAAGTGTAGGTTATGCTATGGAATTAAAACTTGTGATAAGTCTAATTCCGATATTAGGTTACATAAGTATGTGAATATATAAGTATATAGGGATATGATGCTTAGATGCGTCTGAGTTCATGCATATGTTTAGAGGTAAGTGTATTTCTATATGTGATATGTGTGAATACATGTATGTGTGAATATGCCTTGTATGTATTATATGTATGTGATTTATATGAATATAAAAGGATAAAACAGAAGATAAATGAAAAGATATGAACCATATGATATGAACTATATGTGTCACATGATATAATAAGTATTATGAGAAATGACATGAGATACGTGATGATATGTTATATAAATACAAGAACTTGTGATATGAGATATGTGATAAGAAGATATGAGACTCCAAGTGAGTATTACACTATTTATGTGATAAGAAGTCATGAGCTTATATGTGTATATGATATGAATATGTGAAAGTGTGATAACATAAATAATAATGCCCATATTATGTGTTATGAGAGCTAGGGGTATAGTTGGCATGCCAAGAGTCGAGGGTTTTACGTGGTCCTTCGGGACATATGTGTTCTATGTGGTCCTTCGGGACATAGTGGTCATTCAGGACAAATTCTTCGCGCTCCTAGTGGGAATTATACGAGCTGTGGTGACAGCATATGTGTACAACCTCTATGTACTCACATACCTTAAGTTCTCAAAAGTATACATGGGCTTTAAAGATAATAAAGAACTTACTATGACAGTATGTGTGTTCCTTTGTGAAATGGTATATGTGCTATTTGACTTGTATAAATGATAAATTCAGGATCATATGATAATAGGAATGAGGATAATAATAATAATAAGTGCATGTGTATTTGTTATATGAGATGATATGTGATTGTGTATGATATGTTCGTAGAAATGGTTCATGCATTGAGGTGAATTAGAGTTTATATTATATGTTTATGCCAAGTATATGTTTATATGATATAAATGAATTAGTAATAATAAAGTAAGTAATACTAAGCATGTTAATGATGATTTAAGTATGTATACAAGTATGATGTTGTATTATATGATATGTACATGCATTTGTTAGTTTACGTGTGTATTTACATGTCTCACTAACTCTATGACTTAGCGTGTGAGCGTTTCACACGTAGGTTTCAACGAGCTGATGGATTGTTGAGGAGCAAGACATGTCAGTTTCTCCTTACCGAAGGTCAGATCAGAAGAGAAACGAATAATATGTATTTTATTATATAAAATCTTGTTGGCATGTAGTTAAAAGATTCAAATTGTATAAACTCTGATAAATTTTGTAAACTCTTTGATTTAAATTGTGTAAATTATGTATTTTGAATTAATAAAAGTTAGCAAATTCATTCTTTTGTAAAAAGTACTAGTTTTAAAAAGTCAATGTGACACCTCGGACTCATATTCGGGTCGGGTACGGGTTGGGGTGTTACAAGTAGAGGCAAGTTTGATTCAAGGAGGAGGCCATTGAACTTAGCTTCTGAGGTTGTTGCTATTGAGCCGACTGGAAGGTTTACCTTTACCCCATGTTCTAGGTGCGAAAAAAGGCACCCATGACATGTCTATTGGGGTATGAAGATTGTTATAATTACGGCTCCATATGCCATTTCTCCAGAGACTGCCCAGGAGCTTAGGGCACAGCAACAATGGCGACTCAGCGATCGACACCATCAGTGTAGAGAGGATGAGGGCCAGTTAGAGGAGGTGGCATTACGTCTGGATAGTAGAGTCATGGGATGACTAGATCAAAGGTTGGGGTTGAGCCGATAGTGGCCTCCCGACAGTATATAGTGTGAGTCAGTGAGTATTGTGATGCGACATATATTATATAAGGTACTTTTACAGTATTTTCTTTATCAATTACCGCATTGATAGACCTTGGTTTCACCCATTCTTTCATATACTTCGACTTAGTTCAAGAAATAGAAATCCCGGTAGAGAACCTAGAGATAGATGTTCAAGTTTCTAAGCCACTAAGTTTAGACATCATGTGGACAAAATTTTTAGACGATGCCCATTGAGGATTCAGGATCAAAACTTTCCAACGGACTTGATGGAGTTATCCTTCAGAGAGTTCCACTTAATCTTAGGGAGTTCGACTTACTCTCTCAAGAGTATCAATACTTTGGGTCATAGTTTTGAAACTCTCAGAAAGTATCAAAACTAGGTGGTTTAGAATGTTTAAAAGTATCGATACTCATAGAAAGTATCGAAACTTTTGCAGGAGTATCAATACTCTTGGGCTAGTATCGATACTTCAGTTTGTTTTTAGACAAAAAGGTCAGTTTTAAGGGAATTAGACTCGAAGTACCCTAACACTTTAGTATATACTCAAATAAGACTTTAAGCGAGAACAATAATTAATATCATAAAAATATAAACAAAAATAGCTAGGTTTACATAAAACTAACCTTGTTTGACGCTCGAGAAACAATCAGGACACACAAGTTCCTTTTAATAGAAATATGATAGTCAGTAGATCCAAGTGCCAAGAAACTACAGCAGTCGACTGGGCACCAAATTCTCCAAGACTCGACAGAGAAAGTTGGTGAGTGTATGTTTTGATGCAGAATTTCTGGATCTCACCCAAGAGTACCTGATGGTGCTTCGGCCGTGCTAGAGGGATACGTGAGCTCCGAGATACAGAATCTCTCAACCACACCATGATTCCAACTACAGATTAGTAGTCCAGTAGTTGTATACTCAGACATGTGTCACTTGTCATTTCATTTAGTGAATAAATAAAATATAGTACAGTTTTTAGTGAGGCACTGAGCTCTTAAGCTCGTCGTTCAGAATGTGTTTACGTGCACAAGTTCTTAGCGAACAGATCGTGGAGAGCTATCTTCATCAGATATTCCAATGCAACAAATTCAGATTTCCAGAGACCTTTCAGAGTAGGTCTTGAGTCATCTTTAGAGGGCATGTATTGTTATGGACCCATATTATGTTTTCATTCGTAACTCTTTTTGGAACTCAATATATTTTTTTTGTGGATGTATTTTGGGAGCTCCCCATGAATTGTAAACCCAGTTTATTACTATGTTTTTATATTATATTATGAATGTCTAAATTTTAGAGATTTACCAGCAATTTTAAAAAAAATTAGGTCACTATTTCGGTAGTCTCGTGTAACATTGTAATCTATGGATCTTCGGATCTAACAAAACTAAGTTTTACACAATCGCTGATGTTAAAACCCGAGACCTCTAAAAATAAAAACTATTATTTTAATCACTGAGTTAATTTAATTCTGGTCACATAATAATATTTAAACGATAATAAAATTATCAAGTGTGTTCCAGAAGTTTAGGTGCTCTTATATTGTTGTACCAGATTAGGGGTATTTAACTGATGTTAGTTCAGGCTTCTATCTTGTGTATAAAAGCACGAGCTCCCTTTTGTACTAGAATACATTGGTTCTGAGAAA